ATTCCTCCGTGCACAGATGAAATTATTGTAGGATGCATATTTTGCAACTTCATTTTCCCATTGGGTTCGCAATTCACAATAAGGATGAACCCTGTTATCGTATTACAGGATTAAATGATAAATATGGTTTCTCTAGGATTAAGTATTATTTTCCTTTTTTGTGCCATTTACGTTACTATATTCTCATTTTCATGCACATTAATTTTCTTTTTAAGCTCTGTTCTTGGTTTATATTGGTTACAGCTGCAAGGGCGCTGAATGAACTGAATTTCATAGCTCTCAACGGAAAGGCTATTAGGGTTATGTATTCTGTACGTGATCCTAGTCTGCGTAAAAGCGGAGTTGGTAATATATTTATCAAGGTATCTTTTGCCATGATTCATCTCTTGTATTCTGCCTGGCTTACTTTTCAATTTCCTTTCCCATGGTTCATCTTTTGCCATATTCTTTCCACTTCAGTTTACTTGCACATTTAAGCTGCCTTCCGTTTTAAAACAAATATGTTTTGGAAATATTTTCTTAAATAAGCAATGATTAGCAGGTCAAAGTAAAACTCATAAATGATGAAGTGTTCATTAACATCGGGGAAAGTTAAAACACCCTTAGCTGGAAGAAAGTGCCTATCGAGATACCTCATGAAATATTCACAATTAAAAAAGGAATATGGGGGTTAGATTTTGTTGTTATGACTTGTTGTCTGACTTGGTATACGGACTTGTTTCAGAGTCTGGACAAATCTATCGACCACAAAGCACTATATGACACATTTTCGGCTTTTGGGGCCATCCTCTCTTGCAAAATTGCAACTGATGCCTCTGGTCAGTCAAAAGGCTATGGGTTTGTACAGTATGACAACGAAGAATCTGCTCAGAAGGCGATAGAGCAATTGAATGGCATGCTTCTGAACGATAAGCAGGTGTATGTTGGACCCTTTGTTCACAGGCAGCAAAGAGAATCTTCAGTTGAGAAGGCAAAGTTTACCAATGTGTATGTCAAGAATATCTCTGAATCCATGACTGATGAAGAGCTGAGCAAAATTTTTGTTGAGTTCGGACCAATCACGAGTTGTGTGATCATGAGAGATGGTGAAGGGAAATCAAAAGGCTTTGGGTTTGTCAATTTTGAGAATCCGGATGATGCTGCCAAAGCTGTTGAGGCTCTAAATGGAAGGAAATTTGATGAGAAGGAGTGGTATGTTGGGAAAGCTCAAAAGAAATCTGAGAGGGAAATGGAACTGAAGCAAAAGTTTGAGCAAAGTTTGAAGGAAGCTGCAGATAGATCTCAGGGGTCAAACTTGTACGTTAAGAACTTGGATGATAGCATCGCAGATGAAAAACTCAAGGAGCTTTTCTCTCCTTTTGGGACTATAACATCATGCAAGGTTTGTAACAGTTGCCATGAACTTCTTTCTCTAAATTTAGAAAGTGCTACATGTTTCTCAAATTTTCTTTTTCTCCATTCGGAAAACCACGATGTTTTGCTGGATAGAAATCGAGTTATTTTTCCTACCTGAGTGATCCTAACTGCAATTTGAAAATGGAAAGTAACAGACCGTAGCATGTTTACTGATTAATAGATTTGTTTACCTGGTTTGACTCTTTTTTTTTTTGCATTTGGATTTGACAGGTCATGAAAGACCCAAGTGGAGTTAGCAAAGGATCTGGCTTTGTCGCATTTTCGTCACCTGAGGAGGCATCTAGAGCTGTAAGTTCAACTTACTTAGTTGCTACGTGCATGCATGTTTTTCGCATGCAAGCACACATATTATCGTGCATGCCCATAAATGGCGGCCACAATATGAAGACACATTGAATGATTGGTTCTTGATCATTATTCCTTTTTTTCTTTGAAAGAGATAGAGACACTTAAATTATTTTCTTGACCGTGGTCAGATTGTGGAGATGAATGGCAAAATGGTCGTTAGCAAACCCCTATATGTAGCTCTAGCACAGCGGAAAGAAGATCGCAAGGCTAGGCTGCAGGTATCACAACTTGATCCCATTTTTCTTACAAGGATGCTCTTCTTCATTCATGTTCTATTTTGTTACTATCTGCTCTATAGATGGTAATAAGCTGGTCTTGTGTGCTTTATTCTACAGCATTAGTATCTGAAAAACAACTTCTCAAAAAAAGTATGTATGCATTCAAATTCATTCCATCATGTTTCGTGTTCCGTGTTATATTAATACCAAAATCCTTTCCAAAATCTCATGTCTTGCCTTGAGTTTTCCGTGAAGTTCACTTTTATCATATGCCCGTAATGAACAACTTTGACCATACCTTTACAGGCTCAGTTTGCCCAATTGAGACCAGTGAATATGCCACCTAATGTCGCTCCTCGTATGCCCATGTATCCGCCGGGTGGTCCTGGAATTGGTCAACAACTATTTTATGGGCAAGGACCTCCTGCTATGATTCCACCCCAGGTAATTAAATATTTTAGATCTATTCTTTCCTTTTATGGTTGCAAAACTCTGAAAACCAAATTCTCATGGCTAAATACGGGACAAAACCATGAGCTCATGGTCCATTTCTGTATGTGTGGGGAATAGATGACTTAGTTTAATGCAAGCTGCATCACAGGATCCAAGATGGATTATTTTATATGCTAACTAAAAATGTGGATTCTTGATGTATTATGTTTATACATATACATATCCACCCACATACGCAATGTGTAGAACATTTACTTTATTCCTAATAAATCTGATGCTTATCAAGCTACTAAAATATTATTAACAATTTGTTCATATTACAATAGCTATTTCTATCGTTATGACTAACTGATATAATGACACCTTTGGAGATTTCAAGGGCCCTGTAAAAGTTCGCTGCAAATCAGATTGAGAATTATTCAGTCAGTGTATCACTGCTAAAATGTGTCTGGGAACATCTTGTTTTGTTATTCTTATGTACTAGTATCATTGTAATCTTGTATAAGTTTTGACTATTCATCTCCTTTTATTTTTTCAGAGTTTTTATCAATGTTTCTAATTTTCTTTTTGATGAACAGTATGAGTTCTCTGCCATACAATTATCTTTATTTAATGTTTTTAAGTTTATGTTGGATCAACTTGTAACCAGCGAGTGAACTTTAATTACACTGGTATGGTATGTGGACAGCCTGGATTCGGATACCAACAGCAGCTTGTTCCAGGTATGAGACCCGGTGGGGCTCCAATGCCAAATTTTTTCATGCCTATGGTGCAACAAGGGCAGCAGCAGCAGCAACGCCCTGGTGGAAGACGTGGAGGAGCTGTTCAACAATCTCAACAACCTGCTCCTATGATGCAGCAACAGGTTTCATTGCGTTGGATATGACCTTTTTTATTTGTTTGGATAGTTTAGATGGCAATTTTAGGAAACCTAAGGATTTTTTTCCTACCCTTGAGCTCTTTTCATCTAGAAGATGCATGGATAGGATGGAATTGTGATAAAGTTGGAATACAATGAAATTGTGATAAAGTTTTGCATCTATTGTTTCCGCAGCCATGTGATTTACCTGGCGTTGTATCCTATGATGCAGCAACAGGTTTCATTGCTTTGGATATGACCTTTTCGTTTGTTTGGGTGATTTAAATGGGAACTTTAGGAAAGCTCAAGGATTTTTTCCCTACCCTTGAGCTCTCTTCATCTAAAAGATGCATGGATAGGATGGCATTACTCATTGAAAGTTGGAATAGAATGGTTTTGTGACAAAGTTTGGATCATGTGATTTACTCTGGAATGATATGTTTTGGGATCTTGATAACTTTGGTTTGATCAATTTCTTAGATGCTTTCAAGGGGTCGGATGTATCGTTATCCACAGCGTGGTGGTCTGCCTGATGTTCCCATGCCCGGAGTTTCCCCGAGTATGCTTTCTGTTCCTTACGATATTGCTGGTGGTGCTGCGCCTCTTCGTGATTCTGCTGTTTCTCAGCCTGTTCCAATTGGAGCTTTGGCCTCTGCACTTGCAAATGCTTCTCCTGAGCAGCAGAGAACGGTAAAACGGATTCTTTCATTTCCTCGGTTAAATTTATTTTCCCTTGGAATTATGCATATATCGTCAAGAACTATAAATTTCAATCCAAAATTTTGTCATTTTTCTTGATACATAGCATTTAAATAAAAGAAAATCTTGTCCATTATATGCTTAAAAGGGAAAAAGAATCATTGTTCTTTCATGCTTCCATGATTTGGTCCGGCTATCGGATTCATTCTCCTTTGTTTTTCATTTTTGGGTTGACCCAGTTTCCATCTGGTTTTCATATTCTGGTGTGATTATGTTGCTAAACCCATGCTTGTTTGCTTATTTATTATTTATGGTTAACCGGTTTCAAGCCCCTAATGCTATTTGAACTGGACAGTTTTCTCGTTTAGGCTTGAACCGTGGTTGCCCATAGCAAAATACGAAATGAAATATGCTTACAATTTATGAAACGATGTCTAATGTACTCACCTTGTTTTCTATTTTGATCCTTTTTTTTCTGGGTCCCTGGCTCATAGATGCTGGGTGAGAATCTATACCCACTTGTGGAACAACTTGAGCCAGACTCTGCGGCTAAGGTCACGGGAATGCTTCTCGAAATGGATCAAACCGAAGTTCTCCACTTGCTCGAGTCACCTGAAGCTCTCAAAGCCAAAGTTGCAGAAGCAATGGAAGTTCTCAGGAGTGTTCAGCAACAAGCTGGTGGCGCTGCCGATCAGTTAGCTTCTCTGTCTCTAAAAGACAACCTCGTACCTTGAGTTCCGCAAGATCCGGAGCCTGAGATCCTCAGATTCCGGAGCCTTACTTTTATCATTTAGTGTTTGGTCTTTTTCAAGATTCAGGAACAAAGATTGTTCTTGCGGAAAACTTGTTTTCTCCGACCGGTGTTTGTTATGTTATTTGCCTGGATTTTTGATTTGAGAGTTTACCTTTTTGTTTACTTGTGGTTACTATTGTTTTGATATTGAATAGCTGAATTTTTTTGGATAATTTTGATTTTCAAGCTATGTTTTATTTATATCTATTGGGTTTGGTCATTTTATATACTATTTGTTTTGCGTAAATCATACACGTGATCAGATTGGTCAAAACATTTAATCTGATTCATAAACCCAATGGACCAAAAAGAAACACGAGACAATAATATAAAACCCAAACATATATATGTACATAGACTAGATTTCCAAAGCATAAAAAGAAATTCATTCAAAACAAAACTAGAAAACATAAAAAAAGAAAGTTTAGTTCTTGGTTTATGTGTCATACAACGTTTATATTGTTTTTTCCATGGCTAACGTTCGTCACTAGATTTCGGCCAAATTCTTCATCTGGATCTTGTCAGTGTCATCAACGGTTTTGGGTCCAAAATTATAAGATTGAATTAGAAACATGCAAACCGATATCGATATTCCATAATGTTCTAAGATTTACATTGGATATGATTGATAAAGACCTTATGCTCACCTCATGTGGTTCCTGTGCTGCAAAGTTAGTTCCATGAGTCAACCAAAGCTCATGCCGCGCGTGACATGTAAGGTTTGATAGCATATGTCAGGGAAAGAAACATGCCAAAGTTATGAATTCCATAGCACATGACATGTCTCTCGTCGTGGATTTTAACTTGTGAATAAAAAATCCTAACAGTTGGTGGTCCAATAGTGGATAGATAACAATATCATTTTCAAAGTCATGAGTTCGATTCTACTGGTGGGGAAAGATGTAATTTTATCCATGTTGATGTGTAACACGGTAGGGATTATCATGGCAATGAATAAAACGTCAAGGGCCAAAACGTTGTAGTTAGGGCATTCATGTACACTCAGGTCACGCAAGTTAGAAACATGTCAGAAAATATTAGATACAAGTCGAAAACACTAAAAAAAAAACTCACCTTGGCTTTCTAATTTCAAAGCTAAGGTTATAAAACTTTATAGAACATTACAGGAGGTGTTACACAAACGGCAAGTAGGGACACGAAGCGTAACTTCAGGGATCGAATCCCAATTGGTAAGGGGTTTTTCACATGGCCTACTTTAGAAAAAGTGAACAGCCAAATGAACTTTCTAATTAATAAAAAAGATACTTGGTATTTCGAATTTAAATATGATTAATTAATATAATTTTTCGTTTCCACTCATTTTAATTTTAAATTAACTATTTTAAAATTTATAAAAATTCCAAGTCACATGCTCCAAGTAAACCTAGAAAACCTAGATGTATCTCTACCCTTTGTTATAACTGCATTTAACAAATTGTTGTTGATTTTATTTCAAAAAACAAGGCTAATTGTACAAACGCCTAACCGTGATAGGACCAAAGACCGTACCGTATCTCCAAGCTTATTATCCAGCTAGCGGTTAATGAGATTTGGAAAGAGAGAAACAATCGAATCTTCCGACATCGTTCGAGGCCTTTGAAAGTGCTACGACATAAGCTTGATCGTAACATGAGGAACATACTCTTCGGCTTGCAAGGGCATGGTAACTCACGTTCAGAACTTCTTCTACAACACTAGTACTTCTTGACTGATAGTTTCAGAACTCTTTGACCACCCTTCGACTGTAACAAGCCTAAGTGCTGGGTTTTGATTTTTACCACTTGATGGGAATCCTATTTTGTATACGGTTTTGAACTGTTGTAATTCCATTGTTTTATAGTATAATATAATCACATTTAACCAAAAAAAAAACAAGGCTAATTGTTAGGGGCTTAGAAGATTCTCGGACCCTTAAATCGTGTGGATGGACCACGTGTGCGAATTCTGTAGGAGTTTAAATAAATAATAAATACTCATACGTATCTGGTAAGACGACGACTTCAATCTGATATGATAATCCTGTTTTCAACCTATCAAAACACGTATGAAACAGTAAGGAATCAGATATGACTTCAAGGCATGATACAATTTCCTAAAAGCGTTATTCCATCCCTACCGGGTAAATGGGATTACAGGAATACACTTTTGAGATACAATGAAGCGGCAATGATTTCGGTTTACCCTTCCGACAATCATCAAACAGAATCTTGTTTAACCGAAAACAAAAAGACCCTTGCGATAGTTTTTCTGCACTATCCGCAAGAACACTCAAATCTCTCAAACAACGAGTTAGATATCATCTATATCATGTTAGGATGTCTAGGGGTGTTTATTAACACTCCAAAAGTCGAAAGGTGCAAAGAAATCGGAAGTTTTTCCCGAACGATAGTGATTTTTCGCTCATTCAAACTGCTCAGAAAAAACGGGCTGCCCGCACATATTTTCGAGCTACCCACCCATTTATTCCCGATCTGCTCAGAAAAAACGGGCTATCCGCCCATTTATTTTTGGGCTATATTCCTCAGAAAAAACAGGTTGCCCGCCCATGTTTTCGAACTGCCCTCCCTTTTATCTAAGATCACCTTTCACGTTCAAAAGCGAATATAAACTTTTCCGACAATTCCTTAACAACTTAGCCAATTAATGACACGTCTTTTACAAGTATTTAACTCCTCCACCATACTTGTAATACACGTGAAACATGAATCCTTTTGAGAGATTCAAACCAATTAACCGTTTACTCTAAAATACCAACAATCCTCCATCATTTTAGAGTAAACAACAAAAGATTGAAATAATCAAGTGTTTTTCAAACAGTTTCCAATTTTGTGCATAAGTGAAAGTGTCGTAACGATTGAACTTCCACGTAGTGAAATATACTTCAATAACTCGAATTCCGTAGGTGTCGAAAACGATTGAACACACGTAATTCTGTTGAGCTACCGAGTACATAACACACACAAAATCAATACAAGTTTATGTTTACCTTGATACTTTTATACGGCCATGTATCCATATCCTCTTCATGAATGCACAGATGCCAAACCTTAAAGCATTTTCGAAGTGGCCAAACTTCGCATTCACATAGGTAGATCTTTTAACAAAAATCATGTCGTGCAAGTCGACACTTTTTCAAAAGATCTATTAAGGAAAACCTCCAACCTCCTTTACGTTGCAATTCAAAGTACCGACTTTGAGATGATTTTTATTTGCGTGCTTTCAATCACAAGATAAAAGGTTATCTCTTTGAACACAAGCTCTAACGTTGTATTAGATGCTGAGTAGAGATCCTTTTATTTGTAATCAATAATAAGGTTTTATTTCTAACCCTAAACTATTTTGTGCAACATAACATTGACATATTCCGTCAACCTTTTTCTTTGCATAAAATAACCGACATACAAACATTTTTCCACATAGCTATGATTTAACATGTATGTCTTTTCATCATTGTACAATATATACATACCTTTTCCAAAGATCTTATTCTTTGCGATTAACTTATAGAAACAAAAACTTTTTTTTTTTCCGAAAGTCTTCAACATTATAGTTTAGACCAAACTATAATATATTTTCATTTTTCAAACCGAAAAACGTCTATACAATCGCAATCGAAGAAAGATCTACCGTCGATTTTTCAACCAACAAGACATAAACCAACATAAAGTTTTCTCTTTATGTCCAAAACACCATGTTCGATATATTTCCGATATCTTCAACTTGAACCGTTGAAATCTGATATCCACCAATCATAAACTTGATCAGTTTTCTATCCACAGATTTAACCGAGACTTTGAGTACACTTTACACGTATTTCCGCCTCATTATCACCATGAAGTCATAGATCCCAAATAACGCTTTTAGATTGTAGGAGTTTAAATAAATAATAAATACTCATACGTACCCGGTAAGACGACGACTTCAATCTGATATGATAATCTTGTCTTCAACCTATCAAAACACGTATGAAACAGTAGGGAACCGGATATGACTTCAAGGCATGATACAATTTCCTAAAAGCGTTATTCCATCCCTACCGGGTAAATGGGATTACAGGAATACACTTTTGAGATACAATGAAACGACAATGATTTCGGTTTACCCTTCCGAAAATCATCAAACAGAACCTTGTTTAACCGAAAACAAAAAGACCCTTGCGATAGTTTTTCTGCAGAAAAACTATCCGCAAGAATACTCAAATCTCTCAAACAACGAGTTAGATATCATATATATCATGTTAGGATGTCTAGGGGTGTTTATTAACACTCCAAAAGTCGAAAGGTGCAAAGAAATCGGAAGTTTTTCCCGAACGATCGCGATTTTTTGCTCATTCAAACTGCTCAGAAAAAACGGACTGTCCGCCCATATTTTCGAGCTACCCGCCCATTTATTCTCGATCTGCTCAGAAAAAACGGGCTGTCCGCCCATTTTTTCGAGCTACCGCCCGTTTATTTTTGGGCTATATTCCTCAGAAAAAACAGGCTGTCCGCCCATGTTTTCTAGCTGCCCTCCCTTTTTTCTGAGATCACTTTTCACGTTCAAAACCGAATGTAAACTTTTCCGACAATTCCTTAACAACTTAGTCAATTCATGACACGTCTTTTACAAACATTTAACTCCTCCACCATACTTGTAATACACGTGAAACATGAATCCTTTTGAGAGATTCAAACCAATTAACCATTTACTCTAAAATACAACAAATTCTGATCCTAAGAAATATTGTCCGTGACGCCGTTCTTGATTCAGATTCGCACATGCATCTTTATTAATACTTATACTATATATACATACATATATATAAGAGGTTTATACAATATTAAAGGCATAATAGTAATGGTATTACCCTTAGTAATACTTCAGAAGGTGCAGTGATCTTTCAAGACCTGCCTTGAGAGGTCGGACGCCCTGCTGTTCTAGTAAATCAGATGCAGATTGTGTGCCGCTTCTCTGCGGTGGTCGCAGCTGACAACCTTACGCTTTTCGGCGACATTTGGATCTTCGTAAGGGAGTTTTGGTGTCGCGTGTTCCTTCTCCCAGATTTTTGAGGATCTTGTCGTAGTACAAAGCTGCCAAAGTTACAAACCCTACGTGGTGACACGCACGGGCTATGTTATACAACGCCTCCTGCATAAAAATGCATTGTGTAGCAAACACCATGTCACGTTTGTATAATGTTTCGACACTCGAATGTTCTACAACG